TTCTGTATAATTTATCATTGATAAAATTTGACTTACCCCAGCTATGGTTAAACCTAAACTATCAAACCAGTTTCTGCCGAGTAGACTGGCACGATTTCCTTCCGTGACTATGAGAGGAAGTGTCGCTGATCTTGGACCTCTCTTCACCTCCACTTGACACTTACCCAGTGTGGGTATCACTGTGTTTTGATAGTCCCTTAAAATAACACTGGATTTATCTATTTTAGGTCGATTTTCACTAAAGATTTCATGGTAGGTTGATTTGCTTATCACTGAATAACTCGCGCCCGAGTCAACCTCCATTTTTACCTTTTGGTCATTGAGTAGCACATCTACTAAATATTTACCGTAATGCTATCAGACGTCACGTTATTTAACGTAAATTCATAGTCACTACTTTGATAAAAAACACTCTGAGTATTCCCCGAATCCGGCTCGGTATTGGACGTAGATTCCACGGTAGTCTGATGTACTTTGCGTTTGTAATTTTGGTTCTTCTTTTTTGCAAAACAAGCTATTTCGATGTGTCCAACTTTCCTGCAATATGCACAGGTTGATTTAATGTGTTCACAAGTTTCGGGAGAATGTTCTTTTTCGCACCGAAAACATTTCTTCCTTTCGCGATTAGCTAATTGTTTGAACTGGCCCGGTTGATTTTTACGAAAACTTACCGCGTTTATATCTGCGCTCGACTCAGTTTCTCGTAGAACTGCCAAACTTTCCACGGCCACCTCGTGTGCAAGGCATAGGTCTTGCGCGTCCTTAAGTTTTAACTTATCTGTGGCTAGCAACTTTTGCTGTAGCGATTCGTCGGTAATACCACAAACGAGTCGGTCACGTAGCATTATGTCAAGGCTAGTTCCGAAACCACAGGGTTCTGCCAATTTTCGTAATTCCTTCAGATACACAGATATTGTTTCACCAGTCTGTTGATTCCGACGATAGAACTTAAACCTGCACACAATTTCCGACATTTTTGGAGAAAAATGCTTTTTTAATTCAACTATGATTTGGTCATAAGTTTTATCAGACACTTTGGACGGCGCGACCAAAGATCTAATAATCTCATATGTATTGGGACCACACAAACTTAAAAATGTAGCTTTTTTCCTATCAGGGTCTGTAATGTTATTTGCCAAGAAGAAAAAATCCATACGCTCGACGTATGATTCCCAACCTTTGGAGTCACCCACGTTAAACTGTTCGATGTTTCCGAATGCCGCCATCCTGCACACACTTTGCTTTATTTATCACCGGGACGAAATAATGCACTTAAACTGGCACACACACGGATCCCATCCTCGTCGCCAAATAATATGTATCGGACCGGGTGTAAATAATAAACACAGTATAGGAAATACTACCGACTTTAATGATCACTCCAAAACGTAATGCAAATAACAATATATATTAAATAGGTCATCGTCGCGTCTGTCTTCCTGAGTGTTTTCTCAGCTGATTGTGACGTAACCGCACTGCAGGGTTGCCAATACATCACAGTTATATTTATATTTCTTATTTCATGCTTCATTGTTCTGGCTTTATTGGTCTATTTATTCTTATAATTTTTCTTTTAATAATTCTTACTTTTTCTTCATATTTTTTTCGTAAGACAAACTAATTAAAAATCAGTAAGATTAAGGTAATAAAATGGGCAGATATTATAGATTCATCAAACAAGTTGAGATACGAAACTGAACTCACTCTTCTTTATTGAAATTAGGTATAGAACCTTTAAAAGGCATAAAGAGACATGCAGAGAGTGATCTATTCATTAACCAACCTGTATCCTAAAATAAGTGAATTAAAACTATAACATGCAATATGTCAAAGTTCTGGGAATTTTGTGCAGAATCCAAAAATTTTATAATATAACCAATTTTTCATTTAAAATATTAAAGTTGGTATCATAGTAATTGATATATAACATCAGTTAAAATAACAAATTTTTATTGGAAAAATGCACAAAAAGTTTTTTTTTAAATACTTTTTAAAAAACCTTTAATTTTGATTTGCTATTATTTACTATTTTATTAGAGTTATTCTTATAATTTAAACATTATTAAATTTATCAAACGGGTTAAAGAGACGGATTCATGGATTGAAGTAATATTTAAATATTAATTTATAAAAAAATGTTCGCAACCAACAACATAAATAATTACATAACCTCACAAATTATATGTTTGTGTTTTGTGTTATGTGTTTCCTTCTAAAACATGGCGCGCGTGCTGAAAAACTTCAAAGTTTCAAAGGCGGCATCTGAGAGTGGACATTCTGATTTGTTTATTATTGTGTGCCATGGTATTGATTGACCCAATGACGTATAATACACTTATACCACAGAATAATAAACAAACAGAATGCCCACTCTCCACGGAAAATTAAGTACGCGCATCTCCTTCGCGCAGACGTTCCGCCATGTTTTACGAGGATTTAAAAAGGGAACCAGTGTTGTTTATGTGGTGGGCATGGAAAAAAAACAGGTTTATTTGACTTACGGCAATCACAGACATACTATACAATTATATTAACAGTTTTAAATATAATAACATAAATATAATATAATTAAACATATATGTAAACAATTGCATAACCTCACAAATCATATGTTTGTGTCCTCCTAAAACATGGCGCGCGTGCTGAAAAACTTTAAAGGCGGCATCTGAGAGTGGCCCTTCTGATTGTTTATTATTCTGTGCTTATACTCCATTCGCTTAGTTCGGGCATATTTTGACAGATTCATTGTCGGAAACCTACAACACAACAATTCCTACTTCTCAGTAATAATAGCTCAAGTATACTACTATTGCAGACTTCTTTCTTTAAAAAAAGAAGAATAATGCTAAATAGTGGAAGTGTATATTAAACCCATCAAATTCTCCCTGTATATTTAAAAATAATATTTGAGTTGTTACAATTTAACAAATTTTAGTAAATATTTGTATTATTCGCGTTGTTTATTTTAGCTAATATAATTTTATTGTTCTATTATTTTTGTTTAATTCTTTATTAGTTCTATTTAGTTAATTACTTAGTTATTTTGAATTTTATTATTAGGGATAGTCAAAGTTTTCCATATGTTCTATCAGATAATGCGTTGGTAAGTTTTTCTTAAATAAATATGATAAATGTTCTTTAAAAGTTAATATTTTTGCATAAGTAAGGATGCTGTTAAATTACAAGGTAATCAAACTGCACAAAGATTTATTCAAAACACCAACCATTTTTTTAATATTTGCTCATTCGGTGTAGGTTGATCAATAAGATATATTTATCAAATTATGTAAATATGTTCTTAATAACAAAAACATTTGAGTTAACATCCAGTTCAGTTTTACATGGCGTCAACAATTAAATTCGCTTAGAAATTTATAGCATGTATAAAGTTCCTATTACATATAAAATATATATTATATATAAAAAAATGTATTTTATAAAAAGTTACAGTAATTTAGTTTATATCGTTAAGTTGCTCCAAATATAGGCAACCAACTTAAACTTTTTGTTATCATTTAGTTGGAGTTTCTTGAGAATATTTTTAATAAACGTTTAATATTTTCCAGTTAATTTATTATTTTTTAAAAGTGATGACAATAATGCTAAATAAGCAATATTTTAAATGATATTTAATCACAAAACGTACTTAATACTGTGTTATTAGTGCGGATATAATCCGCATATCGTACTTTATTACGTTAGATAAAAAGGTAAAATCCCGGGTTGACCAAAACTAGTTTCTGATAAGAATAATAGATTATTATGATATTTTTGTATTATATTTTTGATTATATTGGATTATATTTTTAGTGAGTGATATTTTTTATGTATGATGATAATATATAACACAATATTAAATACGTCTTGTGATTATATATCATTTGAAATATTGCTTATTCAGCATTATTATCATCACTTTAAAAAAATAATAAATTAACTAGAAAATATTAAATGATTATTAAATATATTCTCTAGAAACTCCAACTAAATGCTACCAAAAATTTAAGTTGGTTGCCTACATTTGGCGCAACCTAACGATATAAACTAAATTACCGTAACTTTTTTATAAAATATATTTTTTATATATAATTTTATATATAAATTACTTTCTTTATACATGCTATGCATTTCTAAGTCATAGTATAAGTTTGCAAAAGAGGTTGACGAAATACTCTAATGTAATGCCATATGAGCACGTGTGCTTGGTTGTATAGTAATTTCCAGCCACTTCTAGTCTGTCAAAAAGTAACTAACTTCGTAAAAATATAATTACTAAAATCACTAGACAGTTCGGGTTAAGACCGGGATTAGCGAACCAAACCAAGTATACTTCATCTAATTTAGATAACGACTTACGTCATTATCTACGTCAGAGATCGAAGTTGACATAGTTGCCAAAGTATAAAAAAATCCTGACTCCATTTTAAATCAAATATATTACATAATTATTGCAAAAGTATTACCATCACATTACAACGACTATTTAAATTCTTACGTGACATTTTTGAAATAAAACACACTAATTTTGTTCTAAAAAGAACAGAATTTATTAAATAGTTAAAAATATAAAACAAGAGATATTCACTTTAAAATTCAAAATAATGAAGTACAAAAAGTGTCAACACCGTAACTGTCAAATAAGTGTTACCAATTTATGCCAAAATTTTACCTTCGTTCGATTACAGTTACAGTGTGTTCCGAACAAATGTTCTTGATAAAAACGCTTTATAATGCATTTATACAAATTAAATGAAACATATTATTGTGTATTTTTTTAAGTTAACATTAATAGAAATTTTTAAATATTATTTCTACGCTTATATAATAAAATATGTCTAGTGGCTGTAATGCCAGTGTACTCGGTAAAGTGATTCTAAAAAAGAACACAACTACACCCTAAATATTTTGTGATGGTATCATGTGCCGTCACAGGCTATAAGGCCGATGACGTGCATCGTTATATAAATTAGATGAAGTGTACATATAATATATACGTCATTGTAATTGTATTGAACTAAAGGAAACGAAACAAGCCGAATTTTTATTGTGATTTCTCTTTCTCTTTTTGGCTGTAAAATTATTATTGGGATACATAAAATCAAGTGTAAACAAATGGAAGTAAAACAAGAAATTAGCGAGGAAACGTCTGAAGTAAAAATAGAGTATAATGAATTGGATGATATTCGCTTTGATGGCTTTAAATGTGAAATTCGGGAAGAATCCAATATGCAAAGTATACATGAGACATATGATAATTTAGACTTAAAGAAATGTCCCATAAATACTGAAATAGAACAACATGAAATTAACCCACTTGAAGAAAACCAAAAAACAGAAAAAGGTTAGTAACAATATATTTACAAATGACACTTCATTTTCTTCATATTTAACTTCTTTGTTGTTAACAGTGTGTTGATGATTATCCAATAGCTGATGCTCCTCATCTTGAACCTTGAAGACTTCCAGAAATTTGTCCATCACTTTGATAGGCAGGTTGGGACAACTGAATGTCAGATTTTTTGTAATCTGGTTCAGTATCAGTATTCATACTATTAGCTATGAATAATATCTAGTAGTTCTATATTAGTAAGAGGATTTTTTATAATATCAGGTATAGCTGCCAGATATATATATATATATATATATATATATATATATATATATATATATATATATATATATATATATATATATATATATATATATATATATATATATATATATATATATATATATATATATATATATATCGCACGTTCCTAAGAAAAGTGTAATAAGTCAAAATAACAAAATTAATAACAAAAAATTGTCAATAAGTCATAAGTCAAAATAACAAAAAATTGATATGTTACGGTTTTCTTCGAAAAATAGTTAAAATCTATATAAAAGAATTTAAAGATACAACATATTGGAATTATGATTTTTATTAGAAAATAGTTTTTGAACAGAACATAAACACTGTATAAAGTGAAATTATCTTATTCTATATTTTCCATGGATATTTTAACATAATGAATCATAGAGTACTTGGTAATACTTAGGAATATACCCTTTTTTCATCAAAAACTGTAGGTCGTCTCTCTTTTCTCAGTCAATTGTAGTTTCTAATGGTAAGCTTTTTTAATGTCAGCAACTGTGTGATTAGGTGAATTTTGAATGTGCTTAGCATTAGCACACAGTCTTTTGAGAATATCGACTGCCTTGAAATGTGTCTGAGAGAAAGTTTTATAAAAATAGTTAAATGGTTCATCCTTTTTCACTCTAACAACTCTAAGATCATTAATTGGTATCTGTTCTCCTTTTGCATAGATATTGAAATTTGGTCCTGGGTCATTCATCAACTGTTTGTTCATGAAATCTTCATACGTTAACTCTTTGACTCGGTATGGCTCCCCTTTTTTCCTTTGCATTTCTTATTATTTGAATAAACTGGTCTGGTACATAAACTGGTCCTGATTTTAGAGAATGTGTAACCTAAAACTGACATTTTTCAGTTGATAACTGATCTGTCTATGGATATTATCTATTTCATACTTGTTTTTCAATAACATAATATGTAGAGTCTCCCTCATTTTGGGTGTGACCAACTATAAGAAACTTTGTGTAATTTCTCTAATCTGAAATTTCTGTACTGCATAAATGAGTGTTGCTATCAAAAATCTGAAATAAAGAAGAAGAAACGTTGAGAGAATTCCGTTGAATTAAATGTCTGATTCTTACCTATTTTTTTGTTGTGCTGCACAATTGTCGCTATACAAGACTATTTCCAAATTTGAAGAATTGATGATTTTGTAGTATTGAAGTATTATCCGCTACCAATTAAGTGATAGTTAAGTTAATTGTATTTAGTTTTGATCTATAATAGAAGATTGATGTGTCACCTTTTGGCAGCTAGAACATCGCTTGCATATCGATACATTTTTGGCAAAGTAACGTAAGTCACCAAACACGATTTGTAGAAAATACAATTTTTTAATTCAACCTGGTTAAACTTATTTAAATTATCACTGAAAAAACTTGTCCTACTTGTCCTAAAAAAGGTTTAAAGTAATTCTAGGCTTACTACACTTTGGCGGTACCTTTTTAACAATAATAGTGTTAGTTTAATTTAAAAACATGATTTTTGCCAAAAATGTCACTTATGTTACTTTGCCAAAAATGTATCGATATTAAAACATGCGACTAAAAAGTTCTCGCTACATTTTTTTTGTCGCTTTTCTTTTCAGCTATAGACAATATTTTTTCTTCTTGATGTTTTTATATGCACGCTAGAGATTCATTTTTTCAGTTTCGCTGGCATTATTAAATAAGAAGCAAAGGATGCATTGATCCTTTTTCGGGACAAAGAATTATATTAAATTCTGTGTTGAAAATGTTAGAATACATATGGTAGTTTCCTAAAGGTTTATTGGTTTCCTTACTTTTGTTAACATACTCACTATCTAAATCTGCAATACTTTTACCGCCTTTGATAAAATCTCTAGTAGTCTGTGCCCTTAAGTAGTGACTTTCAATTTTCGGAATTGACTAAATATGTTCTCGGATGTCATGTTTTATATTGGAATCTACTTGACGATGTTTAGCATGCTTTCATCTTCTGTCTTCACTTACTGATCCGGCTGAAGTGCGCTTTTTTATTACTGTATCAATTGTTCTATCATTTATATTTAAAGTATTTTTAAAAAATAGTTTACATACTCGGATTTTCTTTTGATTCACTTGGAAATAAAATGCATTATTCAGTCGCCTCTTGTTTTGATTTTGGTACCTGGAGTTTGGTTGTATAGTTTCCATATTTCGATTTATAAATTCTCTTTTTTTGTTAATATCACTCAAACTATAAAACTCTTTAAAAATATGCACCCTCTCATCTTGTTCAATTTTCTCGCTACATTTAAATCTGCATTTATGTACATGCAGCCTGTACGTTTCATGATAGTATAACCTTTTTGGAGTTTGAACATGACATATACTCTGTATACATATTCCTCAACAACTCGAAATATTACGGATTTCATCGGAAAACGCGAAATAAAAGTGTAAACTCTTCCAAACTAAACCGCAATAACTACAAATATTACACTTTTCGTCGAACGTAAAGTGGAAATATTGGCAAATATTCCGATAATAAGAGTAGCAACACGAAATATCACACTTTTACCAGGAGAACACGAAACTAAAGTTTACAACAGTTCTAAAATAGACAGTAATAACTACACCTATTACACTTTTGATCGGTAATACAGCGGAGTGCCGCAGTGTATACCACGATAACTGCGTTTTATTACTGTTTTCATCGGAATATGCCGATAAACCGCTTCCGAAGAATAGTGATTCTTTTGCCATCTAGGCAATAACTATTGAACTTAAATTATTACGGGTTTCTTCGGAGATAGAGCATTTAATGTACTATCCATTCCTGTAGAAAAGGGAAGATAGAAAAAAATATGATTTATTACACTTTTCTTCGGAACGTGCGATATATATATATATATATATATATATATATATATATATTCACTTATAATTTTTCTATTAATTACCTTAGGTACTTTTAAGTACCAGCTATAAATCTCGATATAGGTATTAACATTTCCCAATAAAATTTTAAATAAATTTGTAAATCCTGTTAAGCTTACCTCATAATTAACACTAGTAATTAAAATAAAATACATTGAATGAGCTGATTTATTAAAATAGATATATGGGAACTTTCCGAGGAACACATAGACCTTAGTACTTTACACAGACTGATTGTAACTGTTAAATATTGTCATAAAATAAAATATATGTCCATACAATTCAGCTTAATTATATTCTAATATGTTTCCCAAATATACCTTTGGCTTTACAATCATGTACTGTTATTGTAGACATATTTTTACCTAGGTACTTTACTAGGATGGTACTTGTGAGTACCACTGGAAAAATGTAAGTATTACATTTTTATGGTTATTGGGAGACAAATGGTTAAATATTTTATTAACAAAATAATTATGAAGCACAGAAAAGGACAAATCTGATTTGCAGTACTTGTGCCAAACATAGGTGACTTTAATTACAGCATATTCAACATTTCTTTAAAACAATACCATGATATGGTATGTATATATATATATATATATATATATATATATATATATATATCTATATATATATTATATATATATATATATATATATATATATATATATATATATATATATATATACATCCCACCATCATTTGGAACTCTTTTCACGTTGCAGTAATTTAGCATCACCAAGAAATACTATCATATTCAAATTATAAGTCATGTATATTCGTTTACTGTATCTTTTTAGGCTTGACATTGTTGTCAGTTTTTGAATATATCGATTTTTTTATATATTTATTTTTTTACATTCAACAGACATTTTAACTCCCTATAGGTCAAATCATTGTGTCTTGCGTCAATACAGTATCACGAGATGTTGCCAAAATATATATATTTATTTGAAACATAGATACATACATATCGATCCGTTTTAGTAGAAGTTCACCGACCGACATTCAACCTTACCAACCGGTTTTGGGGTTCTCGGATTTATTATTATGGTTTGGTTGCATATTTAATTTAGCAGGTAATTTTTCCCAGAGAATTGTGAAAAATTATGAATGAACGATCGAAACGAATTTTGCCGCTGGCAGCAACAGATAAATAATTGTATTATTATTGTAAAATTGACAAATACGAGAAAAACGTTCTTCTCCAATAAAATATGTTGATGTACAGACGGTGCCGGTTAGTTTTTTAAAATTAGTATTAATTTTTGGTTAAATTTTGTTTGTTTATGTAGAATATAATTTTTTTGTTTCAAATTAAATTTAAAATATATTGTATATGCTACCAGTGCACTGTTCATGTTTATTTGTTTTCTATTAAAATAATAAATAACTATGTAAATGTATAATTTTTTATTTACTATAAAAAAATTTGTGGAAATTTTTGTTGCTTTAAAAGTTAAAAATACTTAAAGAAAAATAAAAAAATAATAATAAAAAACTTTTTACATTAGAATGAATAACTGATACTAATTTGCAGCACCTTCTTCTTCTTCTTCTTTTGGCATCATAACCCTGGATGGGTCTTTGCCTGTCTGGCTATGTCCTTCCATTTAGAGCTCTCTTGTGCCCTTCTTCAACATTGTCTTATGTTCATTGTTTTCAGGTCGTCTTCCACGTCATCCAACCATCTCGTTCTGGGCCTTCCTTTTTTTTCGCCTTTCTATGGGCTTCCATTGTAACATTTTCTTTGTTGTTTTTGCATCGTTTTGTCTCTGCACATGTCCCAGCCATGACAGTCTTTGACTTTTCACAAAT